GTGCTGGACTTGGGCAAAGCGTGCATCGCTACATCACCCGAGAGTCGCCCGACTGCGATACAGATCGCACACGTAATTCGCCAGCACATTCAGACCACGTTGTAGTAAGACCTTGAAACACGAATAGTGTATGTCCTCCCATGCTACGACCTTGCCAACGACAGACACCGTTGAAAGGGATCTAGCATAACGTCGCACCGTGGTCCCACCATCGCGGGCTCCGACAAATCCTTCAGTCACCAAGCACTCGCCGACGCTGACCGTCGTGTGCAAGCTGAGCCTGAACGAGTCATCTCCGAGCGACGAAATGCTGCCGTCGGCGTCAACATGCACCAACTAACTCAAGCTACCTGTGGTATATCTGGGATATCATGCTATTATAGTTACATGACTGCATGACAAACCCATCTGCGCAGCTCAGGTTCTGGGAGCCTAGGCTGTATCCAAAGCCTTGAGATAGATCATGTCGTTGAAGATCCTTCTGGGATCTTCATACCAAATGTTCCATAGCCAACCCCACGGCGGAATATTCTGGATCTAGTAGGAGGCGGCTAATCCTCAATTAGCCAAGCGTGTTGGATACAAAGCGAATGCTGAAGTGAGCCTCTAGGACTCAGTCTACTGACAACGGGCAGGGCGTGGCTGGAGTCCACTTCCCTACAAATGCCCATACTATTGTCGTGTTTCTTGTTGGATCATGTTGAAGTTTGCTAGCTATCTCGGAGCACAGCACACTACCCATTGTCGAGGGTCTTACTTGTCCACCGCGACATCAAGTCCCGCACCATCCTCTTCGACTTGACCCAGGTACAGCACTCTATGTTCCTACTAGTATGTTAATGATTGGATGAGCTATACATACTGGGGTTACGAAGACGGACTTTGGTTGTTGTACAAAACAGGGACCTGGTGTGTGAAATGTAGCATCTCTGCACAAGTGTGCAAAGAAATCACTCGTTTTCTTTGCGACGGCACCATGCAGCTCGTTTCCCGCTCATTATTGGACACATGCACACTGTCATTATTTCAATACTGTAGGACGCAAATACTGACGGTGTCGTACTCCACGACGCGCACAGTCGCGCCGCAACTGCAGTGAGCAAGTTTTGAGAAAAATGGTCTGGGTTGTTGGCGACAGCTGTTCAAGACTGTTTTTGGCGCAACTTTGTCACTCACCAATTTCAACCGCGAGACTGATGGCGCAATGCCTGCATCTATTCGTCGCCTTTCTCCAAGTACGTGCGTCGGTTTTGACAAAGCAACGACCAACGTGCCTCTAGTTGCTCCGGGTAGCGCGGTCGTGGGCCTCCCCGTGCCCTTTTAATGTCTATACGTCAACGGCGACGAAGGTTTGCGGCAGGCCAAGCAAAGTTAATGCCCTCTACTGCATTCTCGATAACAACTGCAAGGTAAAGAACGACGTCTTCAAGTCGTTATTTCGTCCAAGCACAAACGCCAAGTGCATCGTAGATCACCAAAGAGTACACGGCGGTCGATTTTCAAGTGCAAGATGATCTGCCGCTCAGTGATTCCTTCAACGAGGTAGTCTCGTGGGGAAAACTAGCGATAACTCTCAAGATACAAGGTACACTGCACTCCCGCCTTGCACGGATCGTTATTGCATGACTTAGATATCCCCGTCGAGCACGTGGCCGATCTACCTCTATCCAAGGGCCCCGAGCTCTCCGTGTACGACAGCGCGGAAGGTTCTGCGAAGTGAAACGTTTTGTCGACTGTGGCATTTTTGGGAATGCGGCGGTGCGATCACTCGGCGACTTTTCGCAAGCGACGAACGTGACCAGCTTGTGCGGCATGACCCACATGTGACGCGACGGACTCACGCGATCCGATTTGCGTAGCTCGATTATTGGCAACAAGAATGCGTTGTATACGTCAGGCGTCGTCTGGCCCCCCAACTTGCGGTCCCTGTGCGTTGCGGTCTGTCAAATCCACCAATTACTACAGACTTGCACCTTGTAGAAGCATCACAGGTGCCAACTTGCGCTCCGTACCCGACATCTCGGGACTCACCAGCCTCGCCACCTTGTTCGCATCCATTTCTTCTCCTTACATTTGGCACACAACAAACATGATAATGCTAGGAACTTGGACAGCAACAACATTGAGACACTTCAAGACCTCGATCTGCGCATGACGACGGGCGTGTACGCTATTTCAACATTTTCACTCGCTCCCAACCTACGCTGCTCTTATTGATGATACGACGTAGATCGTTTCTATTCAACCCCATCACCAAGGTCTACAACGTCTCGCTTGGGAATAACATTCAAGAAGTGTCTGTCGCTACGACTTAGCTGCCTGTGCGCTTCGAGGAGCGTACTCATGTGCATTATGTAGGATCCTTGAGGGTACCGAGATCACAACATTTACGGTTGATCCAGCAACCTATCAAGCGCTTCAAGCCCACTCGGGCCTACGTTTGGTAGCTACGGATAATGTTACCACGCCGTCATCTTGCAACCTGCCCAACACCCGGCAGCAAGTTCTAGCTACTCTAGGAGGTTCGAACAAAAAAACTCCGGTCACTATCTGCGTCACACCCGGTACGGTCTTCGCGCTTTTAGATGCGCTCATGTGTACGTCCATAGAGTCGATGCTGCCAATGACTCGACCACCCACTGTAACCCCTGCAAGCACTCCTCGGTCAACATCGACACCGGCACCACCAAACCCATCCGCGGGCGTCAGTGGCACGGCCATTGGTGGCATCGTACTTGCGACCATCTTGCTTCTCGGTGGTCTTGGCTTTGCCTACTTCAAGCAACGT